AAGTTAAAGTGCAGGCCAAAAAAATTATCCATAATTTTACCCAGACCGTTATAGTCATAGTGCCGGCAGGAATTACAAATAGGGTTCAGCCGGCACTATCAACCACGTGATCCCAGTTGACTCGAGTCAAGAAATTTCTGACTCGAGTGCGAGTTCAACTCAAGTCAACTCGAGTTACATGAGTGCGAGTCCAAGCTCTATATTAGATATATATATAAGTATATATATATTTTTTATATTTTAAGTTTTTAACATGACATAAAATACGACATAAAATACATCATAAAATACGATATAAATCATGTTTAATGTATATAAAAGTAATGAAGAACGGTTACGATATAACCAACTAAAAGCACACCAAAACTTTTTTAAACTTATAAACTCTAAAACTGTTCAATGTAAATGTGGTAAGCAAGTAAAATTAGATAAAACATATCGCGTAAAGAATTTAGAAACTCATGCTTCTGGCAGTGGGTGTTTATTTCAGAATAGTACAAATAAGAGACAATTTAGTATTTTGAATTTTGTAAAACGCCCTTTAGAAATTGACGAAAATATACCTGTTCAAATATCACCTATATCATGTCAAGACCTTAATGATGATAAATATCTGGATTATATTTTACTTACACCAACGCAATATGGAGGAGGAAAAAGGGATTATATAGTTGCATATAACTTATTTCCAAATAAGTTTTCGGGGCGTAAAGGGTTTTCAAGAAATAAATTAACACCAGAAGAGAAAATTATTTGGCGACGTGAGTTATTATTAACCTTTAAATGGCGTATTGATAAAGATCTTAAAGCAATATTCAGCATGAATTGTGAGCGAAAAATACGGCACCCAAGTGGTATTTGTATAAATTGTCAAGCTATACGTGATAATGCACATTTTAAAAGAGCTTTAATCGAGGTAAATATTTGATAATTATTAAATTCTAAATTATCAATTATTTTAACTATAATATTGATATTAGAGGCGTCATAATGATTCTACGGCAAAATATATACCTAATCATTATGAGTTTACTAAAACACTCCAAAACGCTAATTTGGAAAAGATATATCGTTCCAGTGTTGATGGTCAAGAAACAAAATATGGCTAGAATTAGCCGAATTGGGTCAAAAAGGTGCATTTAATTCAAATAAAACCTTTACCAAATTAGTTAATTTGATGATTAAACTCAAAAATTTGGAAGAACGTGGTAAAAAAAAAAATGGACTTAGATATTCAGAACATTTATTACATTTTTTTAGTTTGTTGTCTGAAAATTCAAGAATTTATTCAATATTTAAAAATGCCTTTGGTGGCATGAGTTTACAGCATATCAGGTAAAAATAGATGGATTAATTAAATTAGCCGCTGATAACTTTAATTAATATTGAATTTAATTAAACATCAACAAGCTAGAGATCAAGATATATTCACCAGTCCAGACTTATCATTTGAAAATATTATGCAATTCGCAAAGATTGCTAATGATTACCATTGGAAGGGGCCAGTGATTTTGATAACTGATTGTACTAAGCTCCAACCCAAAGTGGTGTATTATCAAGAATTTGGAACAATAATGGGATCAGTATTGTCTTCCGATCAAACAAAAGTTTCTACATACGAAGATATACATGCTACAATGAAATTAATTCGAGAAAATGATGCTGTAGCTAATCAAATTAGAGGATTTATCATTAAAGTAATTGAAATACAAAGTATTAATTTTAATAATGACAAGCTAATATAGTAACATTTAATATTAATTATTTAGATTCCAATAAGCAAAATCCCACCAGTAATTATTGCGGCAATTCCAACAAAAGGGAACACAAAAGCTGACAAAATTAGTCAACTCTTACTTGATATAATAAATATGACAGCTTGTGCGGAAATAAATCTGCTAAGTATTGGTGCTGATGGAGCAATTTCTGAAATGAAAGCACAAGAAAAATAATGAGTAACGAAAGTATTGAAAAATATTTGGAGTTTGTAGATTCGTTTTATGGAATAAACTTCCGTGCTCTGATTTATAACAATCGGCCTATCGTCTGTGTGCAATGTCCAAAGCATGCCAAAAAGACAGCTAGGAACCAAATACATTATGGTTCAAAATTGCTTACATTTGGAAACGATACTATTCGTTATGATCAATTACTTGAATTGGCTCAAATGCCTAATTCGCCTATTTGTGTCAGAGATGTACGTAATGTTAATAAACAGGATGACGCTGCCGCATATAGGACATTTCATTCAGATTTAATATCAATGTGTCAAAAAGATGGTGTTTTAATGCCAGGAAAAGCTGGCTTTTTCGTTTATATGTTCATATTAGGTAATCCTATTTTTTTCTTTTTTTTTGAAATACATTTATCAGTTAATTTAAGTGTTTCTAATCATTTATAAGTTTTTCTAATAGGTGAACTGTTTGATGCTTATTTGAATCGTCAAATTAATCATAAAACTAGAATTATTATGGTAATGCGAGCATATTTTTTTTTACAATATTGGAAAACTTTTATCAATAAAGCACATTTAGAGGTTTCGGCGAAGTAGTATTTCTATATGCGAAGCTTTATTTCATTGCAAAGCTACAATATTTTTACTAGTTTAGCAGAATCTCTAGTTTTACTTATTATTGCACATAGAGATTATTATTCTGATTATCCATTATTACCCTAGAAGCATGGCACGGAAGCAATAGAACATGTATTTGGAATTGCAAAACAGCTTGTACCGGACTTTACGGCTTACGAATTTTTTAAAGTATTGCGAAGAGTAATGTACAGTAATAAAATAATTAGAAATAGGGAATTCAAGATTGATAAAAATAAATTATCAGCATCCGGTAAGTAATTGTTAATTTTTTTTATATCCAATATATTAAAATTAATTAATTAAGTTAATCAAATAGGATATACAATTGATATTGATACACATAGTATTAATTCAGAAATTTTGGAAATATTACGAAAGTGGCCTTCTAACTCCGAAATTTATGATGCTGTTCGGATTGCTCATCAAAATGCATTTAATTTTGCGAAAATGATTGATTTGGTATCCAACGAATTAGAATTAGCACATATTGTTTTTGTAGATAATAATAATTTGGTGGATGAAGATGAAGATAAAGAATTAATGTCAATATATGATGATGAAGAAAAATGAAATAATAAAGATATTATTAATGAAGATAATATTAATGTAGATTTAATAATTCAAAGAGCAGCACTTGAAGTTTCTCGATTAGCAAAAATTGCTCAAAATGGAAGTATCGAAGGTTTAGAAAATACTGATGATGAAAATGATGATGATGATAGTATTGATGATGGAGATTATGATGATTCCGATAAAGAAAATGATGAAATTTCTTATAGCGAAACATCAAATCAAATGACAGTAAAGGAAATTCAATATATATTATCAAATAATCATTCTTCTCCTAATAATATAAATAATGATAATTCACAGGTGCCGGAGGATACTTTATTTGATGCAAATGGAAATTTAATATTTTCAAGTGCAATTAAGATTAGACAGTCTCACAATGCATTTTCACGGGCAGAAAGAATATGTGGACTTAGAAATAAGAGCATTGATATGAGTGAAAATTCAATTGAAATAATCGAAAAAAATGCTGCTAATGATCTTGTCTGAGTTTTGCAAGAAAGTGATGAATTTGCAGTAAATAAACCTCGATTTAACAGATGGGATATGAGAAAAAGAGCATCGGATATTAGAATTCCAAAAAATATGCCAGGTATTTTACAATTATTTGCATTTTTATTATATAATTTAATGTTAATAACTTAAATATTATTTATTTTGTTAATAGTTCATGAAATAGAATTAGCAAATGTAACAGAGAATCACCCTTTAGAAGATAAAAATTTTATTATTATCCTTTCTGATAATAAGTTGTGTCTTGGCAAAGTAATAGCTAAATATCAAAAAATTGGAGAACGTCATGCTCATATTAATGTAGGAGTAGATTCTATTGATAATCTTTCGTATATATTAATTCATTTATATATACACTTATATGGAGGAATGTTTACTCGGCAGTCACGTATTGGGGGTACTTATTTACACATATCTCCTATAAAGAAATAGTATATCATTTAGGCCAATTAGATCATATTGCAAATGAGATATCTGATATATTAACAATATCTGGTGAAGCATATAATATATTTCACTTTTTTAAAAAAGATACCATCTTTCAAAAATTGCTATGTATTTACAAATAATTACACTAATTTTTTTACATTAGTAATAAATCTAATTCACTTTTAACATTTATAAATACTTTTAAAATATCATATAAAAATTTTAAGGTCACTAGAAATTTAAAGTAAAATTTAATATAATTTTAAAATGTTACTCTATATATAAGGTAAAATTATGAGACAAAAGGGGTTGGTAAAATTACTAGTAAATTTGAAATTTTGTGAGAAGACCTCTATTAGAAGTAAGCGGGATCCTGTTAAACATATGATCAAATTGGATCAGCCTTATTTGTTAATTTTAAAGCATACTTTTAATTAAATAAAATCAATTTCCTTTATTAATTGAAAGTTACTTATTTAAATTTATTAATTTAAAATATATTAATTGTATAGTTATTTTAAGCTTTTATATAAAAAATATTTTAAATTCAAAATTCTTGCCAAAATCATTAAAGTTATAATTTATTTATAATTATTCTTTAAAAATCTTATAAAATATCATTTATAATTATGGGTGTTAGTTTATAGTAATCTGATTGCTATAGCAATTCTAAACAACTTTAATTTATTTTCATTAAAAATTCATAACATTTTAATTTGCAAAAAGTTTTTTGATTTTATGCAATAAAATAATAATATATATTGTAAAATTTATATTTTATTTTTAATAGAACTAGTAATTTTGATATACAAAAAAAATCATGACAACAATAGGATAAAAAACAAAATCAAGATAAAGAACAAAATCCATAAAAAAAGTTGAAGAATTAAATGATAATAAAATCCATGATATTGAAAAGTAAAACTTGTAAAGTTAAAGAATGACAAAGTAAAAAAAATATAGTTAGTAAAAAATAATGAAAACAAGAACTTAAAAAATAAAAATAAAAAAAATATAAAAAAATACTTTACACAAAAAAAACCTATAATAAGGCTAAAGAATAAAACTCCGTCATAAAGTAAATTAAAAAATAAAATAAAAATAAGCTCTGTACACTGGTAAAAAAATGGTCTATCCTACACATATCCTACACATATCTTACATATATCAGGTACTCAAAATGTAGAAAATCATACACAAATAATACACATATCATACACATATCAGGTAATTATATATATAGTATACCTATCAGGTACCTGATATATGTATGATATATATATTAGTACCCGATATGTGTATGATATGTGTATTATTTGTATATGATTTTCTACATTTTAAGTACCCAATATGTGTAAGATATGTGTAGGATAAATCATTTTTTTACCAGTGCAAACGCGTTCTTTTTACTGTAACTAGATTACTAGCATGCGAGAATAGTCTTTCATTTGACACGAAAGTCGCAGGAATTCCAAGATATTTGCGGGCAATTTGTGATAATTTTGGAAAAATTTTTGCACGAATTCGCCACCAATCTAGTGGATTTTCCTCCTCCAATGCAACCGGCATTGCTAAATAATTACTGACTTCATCAGTGGCTGCAAGTGATTTATCTTTTTTACTTTTAGTTTGACGGCGTTGACGGTATCCTTTCTGTGAGCGCAATGATGATTCTGCATCAGAAGAAGGCATAGTTAAATTTGATGGCTCTAATGCAGGTGAGTGCGGTGTTGAGTTATTGGATTCCATTTCATTAAACTCATCACGAAGCTTTCGAATTATTTTTTCCTTTTCATCATCTAATACAAAATCCATTTCTTTATAACGAGGATCTAGTAAAGAAGCCATTAATCCTGCATCATGATGAATATTCCAGTAATAAAGCAAGGCATTGTATATATTATTTTTTACTTTTTCTATAGCTCCCTCAGTATTTAACGGATCTTTAATAAAAATCTTCTTTTTAGTAATATTACTTATAATTTCTTCATTATCGTTTTCTACATCTAAAATATCTTCTTCAAATACAGTATCCTCATTATAATAATCAATATCATTATCATTTGTATTATCCAATGGTGCTAAATTGAAAATAAGTTCATTAATACAAGGTATCATTTTACTGAGAGTTACATAAGTGCCTCCTGAAAATTCCCGAGTTGCTTCCTCAAATGGTAGTAAAACATCAACTAATTTATCTAATAAATCCCATTCATCCTCAGATAATAAAATTTTTCTTAATTTAATACCATCATTTTTGTCCTCTCTACTGGTACTTATATATAAATCAGCTTGAAGTTGAATGATTGCATCCTTGAGATAAAAAAGAAGATCCCAAGCGTAAAATGATGAATTCCAACGAATTTGTACATCTTGTACACAACGCATTACATCTTCATATTTTAATTTGCGCTGAACTTCTTCCAATCTTTCTATTTGCTTCTGTGTTAAAAAAAAATTGATTAATCTCTTTACGCGCGCTATTAAAACTTCCACAGGTGCTAACCCTTTTCCAATTGCTAACTGAATTGTATGCGCAGTACAAGGAAGTCGTTGAATAGCTTCACACTGATTTNAAATTTTATATAATTATATGAATTATTCATTCCCATCATGTGATAAATTTGATTGGACTTAAAGATGTAATATGTAATTATTTTTAGAAGGTTGTAAGGTTGCAACTATTACAACATACATACAACACTTTTGTTGTAATTACAACACAATATTATAATTGTTATATAGTATTATAATTACTATTAGTATTGTAATTATTATATAGTATTGTAATTATTTCCAATTATACAAATATGTATTATAATATATTAATTATTTATTTTTATGATGATATTTGTTCTATAAAAACTTATTTTTGTAATTTTTATTTTTCAAAAAGAAAATTTTTGAACAATCGTAAGTGTTGTAATATTACAACACTTTAACTTTAAAAGTAGTAATAGGTTGCGACCCTTACTATTACAACACAAGGTAGTAATTATCAATTACATACTACATCTTTAGGCCATTATTTATTTATTATCTCTTAAACAGTAATGCAGGCAAATTTGCCTGCAATTTTATTTTAAAAAAAATCATCATTAGTAAAGTTTTTTAATTTTACTCGAAACGTCATATAATTTTGCAGGTATAATGATCAATATGATGATCATCAAATATATGGTTAGTTATGTGGCTAAACATTAAATTTTAACCAGAAATTGGCCTGCAAAACAGACAAAACAAACATCAGAATTTAAACCCTGAAATTTTAATATTTCGCATTTTTTCTCACACTTTCAACTTTTTATTTCTTTTTTTATTTTTATTATGGAATCTAATGAAGAGTGATATAAATATATTGTTGAACTTTTAAGAAACGTTTTACAACCAAATATTGATAATGAATGGAATAATATAGATAATAATAATATTGAAGAAATTGAAGAAATTGAAGAAAAAAATATTAGAGGCAGAAGAAGAGGTAGAGGTAGAGGTAAAGACAGAGGCAGAGGCACGGGTAGTAGTAGTGGTAGTAGTAGAGGAATAGACCATAACAATGAAGAAGAACAGATTATACAACTTCCAGTTCCACCTTTTTTTAATATTCTACATGCATCACTTTAAACCTTTACATGAATTTATGGTAAATTTACCCATGACTACCAATTTAATTTTCCAACATCCTATTCCATTTTTAGTCTCTTTTTTTCTTTAGAACAAATAAAAATAATTGTTAAAAATACCAATACATATGCTTACATAAAGAATGGAAGAGAAGGGCGTAAATGGAAAAAGTTAACAATAAGGGAATTTAGAATATGGTTAGCAATAGTAATATATGCTGGTATTTTAAATTATCCAGTATTCGAAATTATTGGAACAAGGATAGTAGATTTTCTGAACACAAAATTACAAATTTCATGTCACTACTCCAATTTGAACAGATAATTCAATTTAATTTTATGGTATTTTATTAAGGATAAATCTAATTGTAACAGCCTGTTACGCGTCTTATTTGTAACAACCCCAATTTTATCCAATTAAAATTTAAGATTAGGCGTAATGTAAACAAAAACAAAAGATCAGTCGTGTAACTAAGACAAAAGAATTTTTTAAAAAATTTCAAGAAACTGCTTATAACTTAAAATTTTGTCTATGAAACTGTCTTAAATACATTAAGTAAAAGTTTTCCAAATTAAATTTTGCATATAAAAATTTTATTTGTGAAACACATATTAAATTTATTATTAAAAAAAAATAAAAAAAGGATGTTACAAATAAGATATGTAACAGGCTGTTACAACTTACAAATACATTTTTTCTTTTATTAAATTCATTTTGCTAATTTAAAATTATGATTATTAATAACATTAGATTAAACGTTACATGCATATTTCAGATTATACAACCCCTCCCATGTTTTAGTATTCCAAATTAGATCCTTTAACAATTTATATTTGAACAGTTTCCAAATCAATTTGTATTCCATCATCAAATTTATTAGTTGATGAGATGATATCATGATAACAAGATTTTCTGGAAGGAGTGCTTATACTATAAGAATTAAAAATAAACCCATGCCAGAAGGCTATAAAATTCTTTTTTTCTGTGATACTGGATATACATACATTTTCATTTTTACATCCAAAATTCAAAATCAACCTGAAATTCAGTAAACACCAACTTTAAGTAAAATAGGAAGTGAAGTATATTATCTTGTTTCCTAATTACCAAAAAACAAATCATTCAATATTTACATAGATAACTATTTTTCTAGTGTTAAGCTTTTTAAATATTTATTACATGAAAAAAAAATTGGAGCATATGGGACTGTTCGTAAAAATAGTGCTAATTTTCCTCAAATTTTTAAAGTAAATGAAAAGTTGAACTGAAATACCCTTTCTGAAGTAGTTGTTGATGATGTATTGGCTATTTTATAAATGGATAATAGTCCAGTAACTATGCTTTCAACTATTCATCAAATTAATGGAGATGAAAATCGAATTGCAAAAGTGTGTCGTCGACCTCGAGAAACAAGTACTAATGCAATTAAAGTTTGAGCAATTTTTGAAAGTACAAGTAAAAAATCTTTACCTATTCCTGTTGTAATTGATGATTATAACCACTTCATGGATGGGGTGGATATTACAGATCAACTGTGAGAGTATTATGGTACTCAATTAGCAGTACAAAGAACTTGGATGCCATTGTTTTTTTGGCTCTTAGATAGTGCAATTATTAATTCATATTTAATACTGAAAAAGAGCAATGCAAATGTTTCTTATAAGGAGTTTAGAACAAAATTAGTGTGGGATTTAATTAAAGCAGAACTGGAAGAAGAAGAACAACATATACATACACGAAGTCAAGTTGATGAATTAACAAATCAATTTAAATTTATTCAAATTGATTCTTTCAAAAAGCAACAATATGTTACAGTAAGTTTTGAACTTTCATTAGTTAGATTATCACCTGATGGTCATTTGCCCAAATGGAGAGAAACAAGAAGTAGTTGTATATGGGGCAAATATTTAGCAAAAAAAAATCAAGAGAAAACATCAAAAAATCTATCTCAATCACAATTATATTGTGTTAAATGTAATTTAGTTTTATGTTGCAATAAGAAAAGAAGTTGTTTTAAGGATTATCATACTCAAAAAGAAAATGACAATTAATAAATTTTTTTATATTTTAAAATCAGCTTAAACTCATTTGCACTTTTTTTATTAATTTTTCAAAAATTATTCATTTTTTAGAGTCCTATGTAAGATCAAAATCCTACTTTTAAATTGCAAAAGCTCAAATAATAAATGTTATTCTTTCTGACTAATTTTACATATTGTATTATGATATCATATAGCTATAATAGGACCCCAGACATCACATATATAACTCACATTTAAGTTTTAGCAAATTCAATCAAAATTAGGTTAAACTCATAATTTTAGATAGAGCAAATTGATTGAAAATTAATTAATAGTCATAATTATGAGTTTTAGCATATTGTATTGATTTTACAAAGTCATATTTTATATTTGAGCAAATTGGTACTTTTTTTTAAATTTAACTTATCCTTTTTTTTAACTTTATAAATAATATTTTTAAAAATATTAGTTTTGGAGTCCGGGTTATATTTTGGCCAAAATTAAGTATAATTCCGACCAATATTAAGTATAATGCATGCCAAAAACCGTCCGTTTAGTTTCGCAACATTTTATTTTTTAATAATTATTTATTTAATTTATTATTTTTATTAATTATTATTTTATTTATAAATTTATAATCTACATATTTTAATTATAAAAATTGGCAGTTTAATTTATATTAATCATTTATTTTTTTATTGATAATAAAAGAAAAAATTATTAACTCATATTTTGAGTTTTAGCAAATTAGTATAGATTTGAAATATGATAATTTGATTTTTAGCAAATTAGGTTTATTTTAGCAGGAGCAAAAAGTACTTAAATTTATACAGATCAGTTATGAGTTATATATGTGATGTCTGGAGTCCTGTTACAATTAAATCCTGATGAATGCGTTGAAATTAATTGCAAAAAGTTTTAAGATCACAGTTGTTATTAAAAATGCTAACTTTTTAACTAATAATTAATTTTAATTTTCAAACATATCTGATATAATCAAAAAATAATAATTATCATCATATAATATGTCATTTAAACTATTAGGGAAAAAAAAAATTTGTTATAATAGCTTTATTTTTTAAAAAATTAAATGAGAACTGAATTTTCGTTAAAATTGCAGGCAAATTTGCCTGCAACTGCTTACCGTTTAAGGAATAAATTATTATATTTTTAATATAAGTTTTTTTAAATATTTTATTAATAAAATTAGTATTACAAATTTATAAAATGAGTTATCAAATTAATCCAGATTTAAATCAAATATAATTTAATAATCTTTTCAAATCAATATGATAAGTTAAATCATAAATTAATTATCCCTTAAACGGTAATACAGACAAATTTGCCTGCAATTTTTTAAAATAAATTACAGTTAACTCTCTTTATAGTCATACATTTGGGACAGTCCATATTTGGTGATTATGAGCAAACAGTCTTATGACTTTATCTTTTATTATATATTTAAACGAAAAGTACAATAAACAAATCGAACAATATTACAAACAAGAAATATAAAATAAACATAAAAAATAAAAAGAACTAGCTTCACGATTCATACAAGTAAAGAAATCTAAACAAAATAAAATTAAGCGAAGAAACTAAACTATTACAGAAACGCATACCCCAACTTTACCCGAAGGCCAGTGTAAGTCAACTATCCAGAATGCCCTAAGATCCAGTCCGATACCAAAAAGAAATCCTAAGTAGAGGCTGAACTGTTAAGTGGCGCTAAAAATCCAAGTGCGAGATTCAAGATCTACCACGGATTATAGAAGAGGAGACCCAAGAAACCCAGGAATCCAAGGAAATTATCGCCAAAGAAGGTGTCAAAGAAACAGGAGAAGTTTTATGGGAAGAATGAGAAATAACAGACAGTCCGAAAGTGGACAATTTCATCTTTTTAGTGATGCCTTGAGCTGATTCCCAATGATGAAAGAAAATGGAACGGCACAACCAGATTTGAACATAAAGGTCAAATTGAAAGTCGTGTAAAGGTGATTCTAAAATAGACCATATGGTAAATGGTGAAAAATAATTCCCAAGAAATCCTGTAAGGAATATTGGTATAAGTTCACGAGCGAGTCGTAGGCAGGAGGATGAAGGAGGGTCGCAATCCCAACAGTCAATAGCCGCGAAATCAGCAGCAAAGGAATCCGGTAAAGGCTTTAAAGATGCCGTGGAAATGAATTTATCAAGATAACCAGTCCGAAGAGCCAGTAGAAGTTTTTTAAAAGTAATAAAAGGGCTGAATTCGGGTAAAATATAAGGGCAAGTCCACAAGTGGTCTAAAGTTTCAGGAAAGGAATTGCACTGAGGACAAAGCCAACCCAGATCATAGAGATGAGGCTTTCATCTCTGAAGAGTCGTGAGCGTTGGAAGCATATCTAATAATAGCTTGATACGGAAAGCACAAAATTCGGAACGACCATTCTGATGAGAAATGAATCATGTTTTGTTATTAAGACAAAATTTAGTACAAGCCCAGTCGGTATCAGAAATAGAAAAATTAGGATGGAATCTTGGTAATATAGCAAGAGCTAAAAGACTCTTAGCGTCAAAGATATCACTGATAAATTTCCGGATATTCATATCCACAGGTAAAGAATTAAATTGTAAAATGCAAGGAGCCAAAAGTTCAGACAACAATCGAGAAGAAAGATACGAGTCTGTATGAGCAGCTTTGGCTAAGGTATCCACATGATTATTCAAAGGGTCATTAGCATGAGCAGGAATTTTGGTCAAAGTAACAACCAGATTTTTCTGTAAGATAATACTTCGCACAGAGGACCATAAAAGGTGGTTGGATTCTTTAAGCATCTTAGGAACAAAAGGAGTATCCATGTACGAGGACCATAAGGAGATTAAGTGTGCACAATCAGTGGCGACAGTAATCCTGGAATTCCGAGGGAGGGAGTCCAGTCCATGTAATAAAGCAAAAACTTCTGATCGTAAAGTAGAAGGAAAAATAGAAGAAATGGTATTATAATGAGATTCAAGAATAAAGTCATCAGAATTTATAGCAGTCCATGCGTAAACCATCGAAGGTATCGAATGACTAGAAGGAGGAAGGAAGAAACCATCAATATACAATGTAGACACTGTAGAAGGAAGTTGGATATCAGAAATCCTAAGCACTTGAGTGTTCATAAGAACAGGTCGAACTGGAGCAAAAAGATGAAACAGTAAATATTTGGTGATTATAAAAAGATGTGACTATATAAAAAATTTCTTATATTAGTATATCATAATTCCGGCCAAAAATTAACATAATTTTGGCCAAAATTATACTTAAAACTTTATTGTATCATAACTCCTCCAATATTAATCGTAGAGAGATGATCTTACCGCCATTCGATTCGTCTTGATGAGATGGTTCTAATGGTATAAAATACATCGAAATCCAATCACTAGATTAATTTCCGAAATTAAAAAAATATTAATGGTTTTTGTGTAATAACTCTGCCAATATTGATCCTAGAGAGACGATCTTACTACCATTCAATTCGTCTTGATGCGACAAATCTAATGGTATAAAATACATCGAAATCCAATCACTAGATCAATTTTTCTGAAATTAAAAAATATTAAATAGTTTTTAAGTAGTAACTCCGTCAATATTGATCACAGAGAGATGAACTTACCACCATTCGATTGGTCTTGATGAGGCGATTCCAACAAGCTATTAATCGTCTTTTTACAATCACTAGGTACCGAGATATTTAGCAAAATGTTAAATGGCGCAGTAAACGTAAATCAAGGAATATAATAATGCCGATGCTTAACATTTTGTTGAATAACCTATCAGCCAGTGATCATAAAAGGATAAAACAAAACTCTCTCCCGTTCTGCTCACTTGACAATATTTACGAAAAAATAAAAAATTTTTTCGGAGTTTTTTATTACTTTTTCTTTATAATTTCTTTATTTTAGATAACTACTACGACACTTTACAAATGGGTAAAGATAACAAAAAGAAAAATAACCAGTCTAACAAAGATACTACATCTAAACGTCCTGCCTCTAGCTCTCCAACTGGCAACGTTTCTGGTCAAGGTTCCTCTATGTCTGGCCCTTCGAACACTCCACCTTCGACCACCTCTACTAATAAACGTACCAGAGTCAGTGCTGAAGACTCTGTCATGGATGTTGATAAACCTCTCACGCCTCCTGGCCCTGTTGAGACAACTTCCGCTGAGATACCTTCTCAACCCGATACCTCCTCTCTCGATGCTTCGCAACACGCCCCTGCTAACAACAACGATAAAGGCAAAAGCCCTGAAATTACTCCCGCAGTCTCCTTCCCTGAACGTGCTGCCTCTCCGGACGCGTCCCAAGCTGCAGTACAATCTCAACCTACACTTTTCTACGCCTCGGCCGCTCCTAATGACGTCGATGGCTTTTGGAATCACTTCGCTTCGAACCGCGACGCGTGCGACGCGGTTGATCGACAACTTTCCTTGTTCTCCTCTTATGGTAGTCGTGCCACGTGTAGTGGATCCAACGATTTGAAGAGGATCATCGTACATTTCCGAAAAAAGGATGATCTTGACACAGCCACAGCTTCCCCTATGGATTCTTTGTTTGGCTTGCATTTCCATGCATATGATCCCCAGGCTATTAAAGCTGATGAACACGCGCGTACCCTGGTGGTTACCGATATCCCCCTTTTTCTAACTGACGCTCTTTTGCGTGGTACCTTTTCTCGTTACGGCAATATTACTCGTTGCCATACCCGTTTATCTAAACTTTATCGTACTGCATACATTACCTTTGAATCTACTGGTGCTTTACAGAACCTCGACTCTACCTGGGGCGTCCTTTGTGGAGGACATTGTTTGCGAATTTGCCCCGCTTCTTTCTCTCCTGACCAACGTGCTGAAAGACGCGCTTATGTTGCTTTACTTGCCGGTCTTCCACGTAGTACTATAGCGGCCGATCTTGCTGAAATTGCCAATGAAATTTCCGCTAAATCTATCAATGTTCCCTTCTCTATGAATTCCTACAATCCCAAACCTTACGCCTATTGCCAT